CATGTAGATTAAGTTCCCAAAGTTTCAGCCCTGTAGCTTTTGTAAGTCTCGAGATGAAAAATCGGTACAGACGCCCAGCACACACATAGACAACTTTCGTCAATATGCATTTTTTGCATTACATAGCTGCAAAAAAACGCATAATAAAAATGAATGGGATTTTAGCTCTGACTTTTATTATACGAAAAATCTTACGCAGTCATGTTTCGTCTGCAACTTCAAGCAAAAACTCTGGTCCCAACCAGCAAATATCTGTGACACATTACTGGATGAACTGATTGGTATAGGCGTAATTTGATTGGCGGTATGGCCTTGTCCCAGTTGTCCGCTGCTATTCAGACCAAATGTATACATTTTACCATGAGCCAATACAATTGTATGGCACCTACAAAAAGCTGGTGTTTGCCTACTTTCAATGCTCTGATACGACTAATCTCGAGCATATGTCCTCATACGGGCAATAGCTGAAGGCACAGCAGCCATTTACTGAAGGCACAGCAGTCATTCCGTAAGATGATACATGGTCAATAGGTTAACAAAAGAAACGCACGTGCAATGCAGCAGTACGATACTATTTAAATACATGAACAACTATAATTCATGATCTCAGTTCCAATTGTTTTAATCAATGTTGCTTCGTCAGTAGTTATCCTCTGCTGACGCTAACATTAGTTTCCTATGACATATGACAAGCGTCTTGGCCGTTTTGAGACGCCACTAGGCATTCCCGGACAACAATGTAATGCCTTACCTATGTTTTTTGATAATAAAGGAAAACAGAGGAGCGAATGTAACAGTTGAGTAAAGATAAGGCTACGCGTATAATCTAAATAGGACATATAAAAAGCTATTTTTTGGAACGGCATTCCAAACACTTTAGACATAATCTGTGTAACAAGTAAGACAAAGCAGTTACCTTCCGCAGGCGATCTTTGTCACGTGGCTCCCAAGCATATCGGTGATACACATCATACTATACTGGGAGCCGTCTGGCCTACCAAATCCAAGCTGCCCAAATGAATCAGCACCACACGAGAAGACTCGTCCTTCATGAGTTAAAGCAACCATATGGCTATCACCACATTCAACCGCTACCACCGAATGTATACTGGGCACCAAACAAGGATTACGTGGACCTAGGAAAATAGAGAAATAAATAAAAACTTTCTGAATCGTACAAGCAGCTACAGCTTATAATAAGCTTACCTGGAGACAGAATGTCTCAGGCTGTTTCTACTGTGCCAGATGTATGTAATAATCGTAGATACTCTTAATCATTACGTATTTTGCACTGTTTTTTAAATTCCTGTTTTAGTCAAAAACTCTGCTCTTGCACTCAATCCAGGGATAAAAAGGAGCCATTGACAGCCTTCAGCAGGGGTCGAGTAGTTTTCTCCCACAGTCACTCCTCTTTCCGAGTATTCTGAAGGAAGCTGACAGCTGATTTGTTCCTTCCTTCCCACATGTTATTACTATTTCAAAGAGGAACTGGTTCTCTCACCAATACAGACGGACAATCGAGCCGCAGCACTTGCAGAGTCAATTGTCTTTACATATCAAACTCACAGTGTTCACTGAATAAATTAAGCAACTGAATTGTGAATACCCCCTCCTGCTAACTACACATTCTCCGAGAATGAAATGTCATTAAGGTTTAAAACATGCCAATTTGTTTGCTTGATAATGAACTTCCAAGCTGTCCGCAATCGTTTTTGCCCCACGTATATAGCACACCACTTGCTGTTACTGCTGCCGAAAACAGATTTCCTGCATTCACTGAAATTTATTCCTTTACTTACAGAGACGTTAAAGACGACAAATAAAAGTAAAAAATATTCATATCCACAAACATACTGGATGAACAAGGCTGTTACTAGGATGCAATGCCAAGCAGAGTGTAGCTGTCCTAAGTTACTTACTTTCACATATAACATATCGGATACAATTCATGTACAATAGCCGCAGAAAGATTAGTTGTTTTCGATAATCGAGCCATCCGCCTGACAGTCTTCTGTTGAGGGCATCACTCATTAAAGGGCATCACTCATTGAGGGCATCACGTCTTAGAGCTTTATCACAGTCCGTAAAGTGTCTCACCATGGTCTGGGACTGGCAACGCTCAACGGGGGGCGGGGGGATGATGATAACGAACACAGGCCATGACATCTCGGAATGGCAAAAAACGTCACCAAGAGATTCTAAGAGAAGAACTGCTGGGCAGGTAAATGACTCATAAAAACGCCAGAGAACTGACGGTGTAGCATTAGTCGAAGCAGATGGAAAATTGCCAGCTATATAGCTAGAGAATCAAACAGTGAATTATAGTTGATAAAAGTAATCAAGTGCTGTTCTGAAACTAACCTTGAACAACTGGAACACCGCGAAATAAGTGAATTTCAATTGGTTTGTACAATTTTTGACCATCGGGCTGCTCTCCAAACATATATACATGTCCAGCTGTAACAAGTCATATTTATAAAGCACAACCAGCTAAAAGAAAAACGCTTACTTTCATTGATGGTAACTGTATGCGTTGCACCACAGGCCACCTGGACTGCTTTCGGTATTTCGGCTACACGCCTGAAAAACAAATCTTCGTATAATTTTGAAATCATATTCAAACCATATTCATATTCAGGGCGTAAAACTAATACTGTTCTTTCACTGCTCGTGTGTCGAGACAAAACCAACCGCTCCATGTGCCTATAACGAAAATTAGCAACCCGTCCTGTTCGCCCTCTATAAGAGATGGGGGCAATCGACGGAGCCGAATGTTCGCAAGTGCTAAAAACTATCTGCTGGTATTGCATTCAAGGGATTTCTCTCTCTTCCGAGACAGAGATTAAACAGAAGCAAGCAAATGCCCCAGTACTTACCTACCACTAAAACGATAAACTGTCTTCCTACTGGCGAAGTTCAGCCTTTGACTACAAGCACGGCAGCAGCGCTACTTGCTACTGTGTCATACCCATGCTTTTACACTAATTATGCAAATATGAAAAGGCATGTCGCTGAGATCCCATCTGCGTGTATTCTTATGTCTGTCGTAGAAGTCCACCCTTCGCAACTAAGCAATCAAAAAAAAAAAAAAAAATAATTCATAACTTCCACAGTTTTCGACTTCGTCAACTTACCGTAGTTTGTAGGCCGTCCTATTTTGGGCACATCCTAGCAACAACTAAGGCCACTGTTAACTTGAGCAGCAGCTAGTAATGCAGTAAAAGTTATGCAGATGTGCACGAAAGTAAAGAACTTTAAATAAAAACTTGACAGTGTCATGGGAGAAAATAACATTTTTTTTT